TTCCTCTAGATACCCCTCCCCTGTTTCATCACTTATTTCCTCATTTAGGCATTTTTGATGTCTCACTTATTATTTGTACTTGCCCTAGAGTTATATGTGAACTTTCTCCCTTTACCTATTAAAGTATAGGACGTTTTCCTTCTAAATTCGAATATGTGACTTTAAACCTGACCAAGTGTCCTCAGTGCAGGCTTCCCCACCCAGAGAATGTTCAAGAACACCACCTCAAAGTACCAGCACCTCCACCCCGAGGTCATGGCTGTGGGTGCACGCCTCCCTCTGCTTCTACTTCTGCAGGCTGCTCTGTTCTGCGTTTCACAGTGTTTGAGCAAATGCTACCCTTCCACTGGCTCCCAATAGAGCAATAAAAACAAACTCATGAGGATGCTGGTAACTTTACCAAAGATTTCGCAGTCACAGGTATGATTCTGATTTCTCAACCTCCCTGCCCTCTTCCTGCCATCACCCACAAGACCATCCTGCAGCCCCTGGCATGGAGGAAGAGGTCCTCGCTAAATGGCAGCCCTGCACATCTCCCTGGGCAAAGCTCCACTTAGCTGGTCTGCCTTCCTCCACACTCTAGAACGTCAGGTGAGTGACATTTTCTCCATCTTGTTCCATGTTTACTCGAAAGATGAACTGCTTCAAATCAGCTCTTTTTAACTCCTAATCCTGAACAAAACCACATTTGCCATTAGAAGGAAGGAGGAGGTACAAATCCTGGTAGCGGTCACCAGCGGAGCCAGGATGCCCTGGTGCAGGGTGGGTGAGCTGGGGGCAGAGGTGGGGAAACGTCACAGGGAAAGAGAGTAGAAGGGGGTGCATAACAGCCTTGTCCTAATCCCAATATAATCTCATGAAAATACACAGCCAACACAAACACATCGTAGTTGTTAGAATCCAAATGTGATTTCATTCATATGTCAATGAAAATAAGCCCTCACTGGATTAGGTGAGTTGAACAGCACATTGCTTGTACTTCTACTGTGGCATGAATGTCCTTCCAGTTTAGTTATGGTTTGGTTTTTAGATATGTATTTCGTTCCTGGACTCTAAGTGCCTTGATATCTGTACTAGGTTGGATAGTGTTGCCCCCCAAATTTATGCCCATCCAGAACCTGTGAACATTATCTTACTTGGAAATAGGGTCTTTGCAAATATAATCAAGGCAAAATGAGGTTATACAGGATTAGTGTAGGCCCTAAACCCAATGACTGGTGTCTTTAAGAAAAGAGCAAGATTCGGAGACACAGAGAAGCACAGACACACAGGGAAGATGGCCATGTGACAATGTGAGCAGAGATCGGAGCAATGAAGCTACAAGACAAGGGACACCCAGGATTGCTGGCAACCATCAGAAGCTAGGAAGAGGCAAGGAAGGATTCTTCCCTAGAGCCTTCAGAAGGAGTGTGGCCCTGCTGACACCTTGATTGTGGACATTTAGCCTCTAGAACTATGAGAGAATAAATTTCTGTTGTTCTAAGCCACCCCATTCGTGGTTAATTGTCACCTAGGCAGCCCTAGGAAATTAATACAGTATCTATGCTGGTGTGTCCCACAACTCAGAGCACAGTGCTTTGCTCAATATGGGCCTTGCATGGGCATGCATAGAGAAAAAGAGAACAAACTGTGTGCTTGACCTGGGCACTAAGGACGTAGCAAATGGGATGGCAGGATGATAATGATAGCTCCTATTTGAACACCTCCCTTGTGCCTGTCCTCACATCTCCTCAACACAGAGAGGTGACTCCTGCTTTACAAGGCAGGAAACTGAAATGCACATGATGGCCACCTGCCCGAGGTTACCAGGCAGCAGAGCTCAGATCCCAACCCTCGTTCTGGCTGATGCCTGAATCTGCAATCTTTCTTCCAAAAGATGTTCATGTCTCATGAGAAGCTTTCATTCTACCAACCTGAGATTGTTGAGATCAGTCTTTTGAGGAAACGAAGCTTCTTCAGAATCCATAGGAAAAGGGAGAAAATGGGTTTTGCCCAAGAGAGTGACATCTCGTGATTTTAAGACCCTGATAAGGGAGATTGAAATATCTGTTATCTCTTTTAGGAGACCTCATTATCTCTGAAACCAGCCCTGATCCCCAGGTTCTCAGCTCTGGATGATACTCATTGAGTAAGCAACTTCTAGCTCATTCCTTTGCCAGCAGGAAGGGATACCTCTTAGAGTTTTCAGGACGGAAGACTCTGCAGGATTTCTCTACAGACATTGAAAGCCACTATCAATATGAATAATGTTATAACTGGTCCACGTCTGATAATATCAAAGAGGTTGTCACTACAAATAGCCAGAGTACTGGTCAAGATGCAGTGACAACAAGCTCCTGTGAAGAAAATCAGTCCAGAAAGGAGAGAGGATGTGAGGGTAGATGATTAGGAAATAGAATTTTTAAATTACAAAAATAGAACAGAAGTATCATAAAAGTGTTGTTAATCAAAAGGATAGATTTCTGTTTTATAGCTAAAATCTAACACTCACTGTGTACAATTTTTTATTGTAAAAAGTGACACAAAACTAAACCATAATAATGTGAATCAATAACTAATTAGCATTTGTAAATGTAGCTACTGGGAAACATATTTCAATTTCATGGCAAGAAAGCTAGAGGATCGATGAACAAAGCCAAAAGTGAAGCTAGCACATGCTTGCTGTGCCCCCGATGACTCCACAGGCTGAACGTGGAACAGCAGGTTGAGTCGAAGTTGTGTTCCCAGAATGTACAGGTGTAACCGCACACCACTCTCTCAAACCAAATCGATAATCAGATGCAGAGAGAAAGGATGAGGCATGACGTGCTCGGGTTCCCACCTAAGTCGCCAGGGAAATAGGTCGTCTTTTCTGGATATATCTTTTCTAGGATGGCCTGATGGAGATGGATGAGATAAAAGGAAGCAAGAGGAAAAGGAGGAAAGAGACTTCACTAAACAAGAATCGCTGCACAGGTAGCGTTTTGGAAAGACGCAAGTGCATGAAGCTGGTATAGTTGTGAAAGTCGACTCAAGAAGACAGATGACTTCAAATTTGGCACACTTTCCTTCCTTCAGATTTGGCATATATTGGGAAGGAGATTGAAATGGAGTACTTAAAATGAGCAAACAATTCAATTTACCATAGCCTCCAGTATGTGTTGGTTTCCTGACATGATTTTGTCACTCCTCAACACATTCACTTAGCTATTGCTGAGTGTTGACATGATCTGGGTCCATCTCATTCAGATGCAACAGCCTCCTTATTCCCCAAGGGCCACCAGAGAAACTAAATTGTCCTCTGAAGCAAGAGCCAGGGATTAGGAGGAAATGGGGCGGGGCAGGGGGGCGGGAAGGAAAGGATTAAAACACATACAGAAGAGTGGAAATGGAAAAAGGGACGAGTGAGAAGAAAAAACGGGAGTAAAAAGTAGCATGTGAGTGGGAAAGTAGGGTATCAGATCCTGGAAAGCCTTGAGCATCCCTGGGTAAGAGGGAAAGCCTTTCCCATACCTTCTGCCACACCCACTTTCTACAGTAGCCTCCTTCGAGGCACAGGCCAGTTCACACCAACATTTCATTAAGTCATAGAGTCATTCCAGCAAAGCTCTTAAAATCCCTGAACTACCAGGTTGTTAATGTACACAAAATTCACATTCCAGCCAGGTTGAATTTTCAAGGTCTTCTACAGAGGATCTCCCTTAGCATTGCAGACCATGCGCCATGTTAGTTCCCCAGTCTGGCTGGTGCCACCATGTATTGTCTCACTAGATCCCAGGTTCTTTCCACCTGTAGACCTTGGGTTTTAGCACATCTTAGATGGGTGGCAAGTTAGTTGCCTCTAAGTTAAAAATAATAATGACTATTCTATATCCACTTTTGGAGTCTTTCAGCCCATCTCCTATCCAGCCTAATTTCATTTCTAGACCTTCTGTGATCCCCAAGATTGGGTTTGATGGCCTCCTCTCTGCTCCCACAGCATGCTTTACATGCCCATACCCTGGGGTTTACCAAACTCTTGTGTGGCTGGCTCCCTACTAGAATGGAAACTTCTCAAGGGCAGGAAGAGTGCCATAGTATCATCAGTGCCTGGAACAGTGCCTAGCACATAGTTAGTGCTCAATAAACAATGTGGAACAAACAAACAAATGAATGAATGTTCTTTACCTTTGGAAATGACAGAATCACATTATAGGAGCAAGGGCAGCTAATAAGGCTCTCTGCATAACAAGATTTTCTATCAATGGAGAGTGGAGAAAGTTTCCGATTACTTATCAAAATTAATTTTTCCTCAAACCAAGGCTCAGCAATTCGGATATGCAACACTGAAATTATATTTTGTGCCCACCTACCTCAAATTGACTGATAGTTTTGAAACAATAGGTGTATTTTTGTCAATGATTGAGACCTGCCAATAAAGCTCTGCTGTTTAAAATTTACAATTTTTTCTTTGTAACATCTGCTGTTTCTTTTCTCCTTCTCTCCTGTTACAACCATCAAGAGACATTTATCCACAAATGGCCAAGTGCCTTAAATTATGGCTTCCTGTGCCTTCCAAGCTGCTTGTTTTCTTATATCTCTCACGTGAGTAACCAACCCAGGTTGGACAGCTCGTCCACATAAATTTCCATGAGGATGAGCATCCAGTCTACTGTTAATCCTTCTCCACTGGGGAAGGGTATAAAATGTTTGGTGGTTTCTCAAAGTCAAACAGTTGTTCATAGGGCATTATGAACTTCTACAAGGCACCATATTTTTCTCATGATATAAGCATAACATAAACCTTTCTTTTTCAAGTGAAGATGACTCTTTTCTAGCTAGGTACATTCTTGCATACAAATTTCTTACAAATTATTTTTCAAATTCCAAGGTTCATTAATTTAATTGAATCTGTTCCTAATTTTTAATTAAATCTGCATTTCTCCCAGTAACCTTTGGAAAGATGGAAACCATATTACCATACTGGAGGGACTAGGATCACAGAGCAAGACAGACATAAAAGAGAAGGACAAAATCACAAGGCAGGTCTTCTTATAAATTTATTTTGGTACCAAAAAATTAACATTCAAAGGCAATGTTTTTATTGTACAGTATAAAATAACTTCCACTAAATTAAAAACAGGATTTTTTTTGCTGATAAGCCACTGATAACTTTTCCATTAAAAAAAATTTACAATTTGCAGCACTTGTAGAAAAAAACACCTGTTTAATAATTATATAAATACTCTTGACAGATTCCAGTAGCCCATTATGTATCCTTTTTGGCAATGTCAGCTTTCTGAAGTCAATTAGCTTCTAAATTTGAAAGGCACCTGGTGGCCAACATCCTGCTTATTATTCAAGGCATCTATTTAAATTTTTTTGCAGAGACTTGACAAGTCTGAAAAATCTATTAAGTTAAAAAGAATGAAGAAATATAATACAGTTGATACTAGCAACCAACATTTTTTTCCCTTAGCTGCAATTTTTCCCCAGGGGATTTACAAAGTGCACCAGTTAAATACGTCTGTACATTTAAAACATTAAATATGTCAACAGCAAGACTTTTTAAATATTTTGAATCAAATACTATAGCACAAATATAATTTACAATACTTTGCACAGAAAACATTACATCTGAAATATAACTTTAGATATTATATAAAAATACATATATATTCTTTCCTCATTAGAAAAAGTATTTATTTGCAGGTTCCAGCATGATGTAACAATTCAAAAGAACTTAACCCTTCTGATGATCATCCATTTGCAATTAGCTGCATAGTGGCACATAACTGCAGGCTAGACCCAGAGAATTAACCCATCTCATAGCCCAAATGCAGTTTTTCATAAAGGCAACCATAATTGCTCTGATTCGGTTTAATTCTAGGAATTCATTACAAAATTTCAAAACCATTGTGTAAGAAAGCCTTTCGATTGTAACACACCTTGAGTCCAACATCTCCCATTGGCTGTAAATACATGTGCTTTCTACAGAGTCAAAAGCATGGATAGAGTCTTCTTGTACCATTGTGGGTCATATCTCTTAGTAGTCTCACACACCTATATACATCTTTTTTGGCTTGTTTAAAAAATGTTTTCCACACATCCTAGGAAATACATGATAACACTCCACAAAATGGGGTTCAATCTATATCTCGAACTTTAAAAGCCCCAAAGTACGTTGCATCTTGATCTGGATCCAGTAGTGAAGGGTTGGATACCTCAATGCTTATTTCCTCACCAGACCGTAGCTTAAAAAATCCTCCAACGTTTATGGAGTAGAAGTGGAATTCAGAATTCCCTGACCAGTATTTGGTGCTTCCTCCTTTCATCAGGGTATGAGAACTTGGGATTTTGATGCTGGTTTTAGTGACATACACCATCAGCTGAAGATACTCCGTAGCGAGGTCTCCCGAAGTTTCATGATGTCGAAAGCAAATGTTGGCATACAGGTAATAAAAGCCATCTTGGTTAACTTTTAGTTTTCCGTTGCTGAAAGTCATGTTGGAGATCTTGGCCCAACCTCGGTCATGGTACCAGGAGGACAGACTCACTTTGTGGGAACCTGAGGAGAAGAGGGGCATGTGATTTAAAATCCACCCCTTCTATGAGAAAGACATCCTCATAATTCTATGAGGTTGGAGAAAAACATACTATAAAAAGCATTGTTCCAATGGGAGAATTACTTTCAGAATTTATTTTCTAAAAGGGGAGAAACACATTAAGATGTACTTAGTGCTCTCTACTAAGCACTTGAGACGGTACAAAGACAAAATCTCACTTTTCCTGCCCTCAGGAAACCTACAGTATGTGAGGGATAAGTATGATATGTGTTCAGATAAGAAGCAAGGAGAGCCAGCCCTGACAGGAAAGGTGCAGATAATTGCTATGGGAATTCAAAGGAAGGAGAGACTATTTCCTCCCAGAGGAATGAAGAGTGACTTTGTTGTGCTACTGAGCCTGAGAACTTAAGGAGGAATAGGATGCAGCCAACAGAAGCAGGAACGTCATTCAAGGTTGAAGAAAGAGAGTGGGCCAAAGGCTTCTGAGACAGGAAAGCAAGAAACAAGTGTAGGAAGAGAACTTTCATACTTCACTTGACTCCATCTTCTCTTTTAATTCATAGAGAGGGATATGTAGAAGGAGATGAAAATCTGGGTCACAATACCTTTGACCAAAAGGTCAAATTCCTAAACTATTCTCATCACCATCAATTTTCCCCTCCTCCAGTAACCCAAATGCCTCCCAGGCTCACACAACTGAAAAGCTGTCCTGGGAGAAGTTCATGAAGAAAATATTCCTGGCTTTGCACTCCCCAGCTTCACAACTTCACACAATCCTTTGTGACCCAAGGATGGTAAAATCTCTCCTGATTGACCAGAATTCTCCTTCAGCCCCTTTTCACACCTGAAATGTGACAAGTGAGCCTCACGTTACTGTTTCTAGAGCAGTGGAAGTTTCTAAAAAATCTTCTAAATCAGCAATGTATCCAGTGATTTAAATATTTCAGGTCTTTAGTGTATTGTACTAGGTCTTTAAGAATTGGCAATACCTTCATGATAAACCCAATTAATCAAACATTTGTATTTATGTGGACACCTATTGTCCAACTAGAAAAGGTGTCAGTTAGTGGGGGAAAAGTTTTTATACTGTGAAAAGTCCAAAACCACATTTGTCCTCCAGAGGATTTTGTCAATACTTATGCCAAATTAAGGTTGTCATCTGTTAGGATTTCAACAAGGCAAAACAGGAGTCTCAGAATTGGGTTGGGATTAGCTTCTGCTAATTCCAGAAGTTCCTGAGGGCAGGAACTTCTCCCATCAGGGAGAAGTTCTTTGCTGCTTGTCACCCAAGAGAAATCAGCCCACAGTTAAAGTGGATTCCATCGATCCATCGGAGCTGACAATCCTTTAGTTAGAGTGGGTCCTTGGGAGATCCTTGTAGAATCAGAAACTCACACTGGATACCTTTCCAGACTGGCCTGAATCTTGGGGAACCTTGAACACCTGCATTTTTCTCTAGAGAGCCACAAAAAGGAGAATATTCTGCTGTCTCTGGAGGGCCACTGCACAGCTAGGCTACGGTGTGGGGACCTCAATACCCGGCTGTTCCAAGAACCAACCAGGGGGTGGGGTAAGTGGGAGGGAAAAAATGCAGCAAGGGCCCAGCTGTAGTGAGACATCATTAGAAAGGCCAGTAAAGGCAAAGAAGCCAATGGTTCCAATCCTTCTGTCCAGAGACGGCATATTTCCTCAACTCCACACCTTATCCACAGGAGGGCGCTAGAGCGAGCCTGAGAAGCCAGCTCAGACACTGCTGCCTCCAGGTCCCACCACAGCACACGTCCTTTTTCATCGGAGGTCCGACCTCAGGTCATGCCAGTTTAAAGTGTCCCAAATGTAAATATCATTCCATGGTCCCCAGTGAGTCAAAATGAGACTACAAGACTCTGTTCAACATATCCTCATAAACACTAGTAAAGTAATTCCTCCAGGCTGGTAAATAGCCATCTAATTCATTGACAAAGCTAATAAAATTCAAGATGTTTCCTAACTCAAACCAGCCCATGTCTCCCTCCTTCTTACCCTACTCCTGTATTCAATCCTTTATTCAATCAATTATTGATCTTACAGTTTACCTCTTATGATTGTTCTTAACAGAGAGCAGCAGAATGACTAAGATAAAGTCAGCTAGTGTTAGACCAAGGGCTTGGAGATATGGTCTGGGAAGGCAAGGAAGGAATATGAAATAGAGAGGAGAAGACAGGAACCGTGACCACATACTACTCTCATTGTATCTAAAGTCAAGTGCAAGGAGTGTCCTTATTTTCTACCAAATGTATCTCTATTTTTATCCCATTCTCTGATCAATTCAGTTGATCAGTCATTCAATAAATATCTGAATAGTGCTTTCTGTGGGCATTCACTCTGCCCATAATTAAGAATTATATCAAGCAAGGCACCCTCAAGGCACTTACCACTAGTAGTGGAGAAAATAAGAAATGGGCAAATAAAATGAAAAACATAACATTTTCATTTCTGCATATCACATAGCGCGTGGTTGCAGTTCAGTTAAAGCAACTGCCAAGTGAAAGCTGCAGAAATTAATGGCGATCAGGAGAGCTCAGCCCAATGAGGGGACAGAGGAGCCAGAGGACAGGGAGGACTCGGGTCAAATGTGGATGGGCTGAGAAAAGGGAGAGTACTGTCAGTGAAGGAAACCGTTCGAGCAATGGATGGAATGCACACAGCACGCAGAGGAGAAAGGGAGAAAAGCTGTCAGTGTGAACTGGAGGACTCATGAATAGGAATACACAGGAGAAAAGATGAGAAAATATGCAGCAATCAGGCTGAAGGACCTCACACGCAAACCTGGGTTTCCATTACTAACGAGGCATGCTGATGACCTCTTCCTCCAGCTCCTCAGCCCCAAGGTCTGTGCTGTTAGATGTTGGAGAAGAAGCCTCTCCAAATATTTAGCCTGAGCACCCCCCCTGAAGAGAGCCACATATTCTGACCTCACTAAAACTTCCCAGTACATTTCTTCAAGAAGTTTGAAAATGCGTCAGCTAACAGCCAACATAAAGCAGATTCTGACTTCTTTCTTATGTGTAAATAAGTATAGAACAGAGGCCCAAAATGAACATACAAAATTAAAGCCATCTTCCTCTGAAGTATCCAGTACTGGCCCAAACCTGCAGATAAATGGACTCAAGAGGTTGTTGGCCCAGCCAGAGGAGCAAATTCTACTTTCTTAAACAGAAGCACACACTTATGCATTTCCCTCAGTCTCCAACTCAAGAACCATCAGAAAATAACCAGGAGTTTGCCTTATTTTTTGGCAATGATTTGATACTAGGTACCTGGGGAGAGCTTTATAACTCAAACATGCTATTGCCAAACACACTTTGGCACACAGTCTAATGCAATATTTATCATGTGCCATTTAAAATGAACTGAAAAGATAAATGCAGAGTACATTCACAGCACACCCAGCTGATACATCACTATTAATTTGATTGCCTTCGCTAACATGCAAAATAGTTTTCCAGTCAGAAAATTAGCTCTACTGTAAGGCACACATACACACACACACAGAGAAAAATTTGTTGATGAAGCAAGTACCCAGGACAGGATAGATAGTTTAGGAAAATCTTCTAAAAACCAAAGAGTTGGTTTCTCACTTTCTTTGTCTGCAGTCAGGAAAAATCCCTCCACAGCCCATGCTATGATAGTGGCTTCAAAATCATTTATTAAAGCTTAGATTTTTTTTTTTAATAACTCTAAGAAAAACTTGCCTTGAATCATTTTTTGGAAAAAAATTAGAATATGTATAATTATTTAATTAAACTTGAATAATAATGACAAATTACATTCACTGAGTGTTTTCTATATGCCAGCTTCCCTATAAGTGTTAGTGGCTCGTTATCTCATTAAATCTACATAGCTGCCCCATGAGGTGGATACTATTACTATCCCCACAAAGAAGTGGACGCACAAATGGTCCCAATAATTTGCACAAGGCCACACAGCCAGTAAGTAGTACAGTGGGGCCTCCAACCCAGGCAGTCAGACTTTAGAGCCCCTGCTACTAAAACTACATTAATCTACTTCTTACGGGAAAAGAGAAATACACGAGCTCTGGTTTTATTTCCCTCTGACAAAGCCAACTGGCCACAGGTGCTTATATGATAACCTACAGTAGAAAAAGCATGGACTTGGGAATCAGCTCAAGTGGAATTCAACTTCTAATCCTGCCACCACTGCAACCTTGAGCAGAAAACTTAAACTATGTGGACCTTGGTTTCCCTGTCTGCAAAATCGGAACGATAATCACTACCTTGCAGGGTTGTAGTAAGGATTAGCGATAATGAATACAGAGCAAAATGCCTGATACATAGTGTGTGTTCAATAAACGGCATAACAATAACAACAATGTCCAAGGGTCACTCTATCATAATGTTCTTTGTAATCTTTTTGATGCTCACCTATCCCAATGTGAAGTAACCGGTGGGGATTGTACAATGCTTAATGCTTAATGCTGGTGCATTAAGGTAGATGTATGCGTAGAGCTCTGGGTTTCCTCATTTCCCAAAGATACTCAGGTTTCCAGTCCATTGAGCTAAAGTCTTACCCCAAAAATGATAACTCCCTGGAGAAGAAGGAGTATGTCTCATTTTGTAGAGGGCTACTGTCTCTTAAATTTCACTCTGTTAGGCCCCTACCTGGAACCCCGCAGGAGATGGCTGAGTATATGGCTACCTAGATGAATCCATGCACCACACAGGTCAGCAGTGGGGATGTGTCAACTTTAGCTTGGGTAAACATAGACGAAAATAGCAAGGGATTGTCCTTTCCAGGTATGCAACTTGAATGGTAGTCATTTAAAATAAACCCACTCTGATGATCTGAAAATGAATGTGGTGATGATGTCCATTCTGGCATGATTGAGAATCACTGTTTCCATGACATGGATTATCAACTGAAGTCTAAATGGTCTTTCTTCTGGTCTAGAAGTTAAGGGCTCTCAAAATGTTACTAACAGGTTAATAATAGGTTTGGGTATGCAAATGAGCCGATAAATGACTCTCGAAATATTTTTCAGGCTGGATGCAAATGGAACTTACCTGAGGGGATGTCAGTGGCATTAATAGTGAGATGAGCAAAAGGCTGAGCATCAGGCTTGCCCCTCCTGGCCAGATCTAACCATGAACCTTCCACCGCAGCTGGAGATGAGAGAAACCACATTAGCCTGAAGAATAATCACCCTACGGGATTTCAAACATTCATACAGATCCATGCTTACCTTTTTCTGCTCTGATGTGTTGTGATCTAACAATATGTTGTAATTCCTGAAATAAAAAGAAGAAAGAATCTTATTTATACATTTCTTCTTTCAATAAAGCAGTAAGAATTCATGACTGTTGGACATACAATAAATTAATCCTCGGTTCCTTGAAAATATGCCAGAAGTACATAGGCAGTGAAATTCTTTGATGTTCTAAGTAGCTATTAAGGAAAGTTCACTCCAAAGAATTATGTAGATGTGCTTAAAAAATAGACCACACATACCATCTAACAAAATACTTAGGACAATAAGAGGATATAAAAGACAATGTAAATTATAAGACACGGAATAATTGAACATAATTAAACATTTGTAGCAGGTACACAAGTGGAGATGAAGTTAACTAGGAAAATAACAATTACCACAGAATATATGACCCTCTTAAATCTTTAGGGAGGCTTTTTAAATGTCTGTTTCATTAGTGAGTTCCTCTTATAACACTGAAGCTCAGCCCATAGAAAGGAGAATGATGCCTAACTCTCAGTGCTTAATTTTTTATTTTAAAAAGTCACAGCGTATTTAAAGTACTACATGGAAGTCTAAGAGCTTTTAGAGTACTAATAATTAACTTAAAATATTGCCACAAATAGAGGTTTAGAAGCACAAGCCAGAAAAAGAACACAAGTACATAAAGAGCACAGGTAATTGCACGTCTCAATATGAGCCCTGAGAACGAAGGGTCCAACAGGTAACCACAATCCCACTGAATCAAGACCTTAGCTATCATTAAATAGTAAGGTGGAAGAGACAAAGCCTCAGGCTTTGACATCATTTCAAACCCCTTCTCAGCTACCTACATATACTGAGGATATTAACAGCACCTCTCTCATAAGGTGGCTGTGAAGATTAAGTGAGATAATGCACATAGGCACTTAGCAGAGCGTCTGGTAAATTCACGTATCTAGATACTAGAAACACTCTGGACAGATTCCTAATTTCTCGTTATTGGGATGACCATCCATGCTAACTCCCCTCATGATGTTTAAAAGATAGGCCATATCTTTGAGTGTCTGGAGAGAAGTGCTTTGAGATAGATGACAGATGATAGATAGACAGATAGATAGGTAGGTAGGTAGACAGATATATAGATAGATAGATAGACAGACAGATAGATAAATATAGATGATAGATAGGTAGGGCAACAACACAACTTCAACTGTTAATGGTTGGAAGGGTTCTAAAGACAAGATAACACTGATTCTTCTCTCTGCCTTCAGGACCCCCAAGAGAGATGAGAATTTATTCTATTTGTAAAGACTCTTGGAGGAGACAGCACAGCTGTCTTCAGTTACCTATTCTAAAGTCCTAAAGAAGTCACAGTGTGACCGACTAGAAACCTTAGGGGCTCATCCAGGGCTGCCTTCTGCCCTTGCAGCCCTGCGCCACGCAGCTCTGGGAGCACCATTTGCAGGAAATTCTAGGCAAATGGTGGCAGGCCCCTTTTGAGTTGTGCAATGCAGTGGCCCTTACCAGGCCTTGTTCTTCTCTCCACTCTATCCAACATTTGTTTCTCTCCCCTGCTGACCTCCAATCTCCCAAGTTGCTTCTCACGACCTTCAAATTCCCAATGGTGCCCTGATTTCTAGAATTTCCTGGTTTGCACTCCTCTGCATTTACATGAGAGATTTATATATGCACAATGTATCTTTATATATTGTGTCTATCTTTATACCTTTATATATACAATATATCTTTATACATTATGTATATCTTTATACATTTATACTGGAGAAATATATATAAAATGTATACTTATATACTATATGTATCTTTATACATTTATAACAATATAACTTTATACATTGTGTATATCTTTATACATTTATATATAAAATGCATCTTTACCTGATTACTATCCTTTAAAAGATTGGAATAGGAACCCTGATGAAAGAGTAATTCAGAGATCTAAAGCTACCCCTCATTTTCCCTCTAGCCCTGATCTGCCTCATCATCAGAGGGGAGAGGGAGGAGGGGAGAAGGAAGAAAAGCTAAGTATGGCATATGCCTACAAATGCCTGTTTCACGCTTTTCTATTGAGAAAAACACACTAATAACAATTGTAAAAAACAAGGAAAGAGCCTTTGTGTGAGCTCAGTGGTTCTCAAACTTGAGCATGCAACAGAGTCTCCTGGAGGGGATGTTGAAACACAGTTTCTGATCTAGTAGCTCTAGGGTTGGGCCTGAGAATCTGCATTTCTAACAGGTGAGCTAGTCTTGCTGGTCTGGGGCCTCAATTTGAGAACAGCAATCCTCTCACATCCCAAAATATTTCAGATACTGGCAAATCTGAGATTTTCTTGAAGCTTGAGACCCAGGCCAAAGCAGCAGCAGACTGAAGTCATTGATTACGTGGGGAGGGGAAGCTTGTTCTCTCCCACCTGAGGTCAGAGCTGTCACAGGACATTTCCATTACAAGAAAATTCAATAACCATCACCACTCAAAACCACTTTCAATGTCTGCTAAAAAAAAAAAGTGTCATGGCCCAGGATGAATTAAAACTCTAGCTAGAGACATATGAGGTATTCCTGCTTTTATGTTACCTCTGTTGCTGGGTACCCAAGAACGTCAGTTCCTCTCAGAAACCCTGTAGGGTAGTTTCTGTGTGAAAAGGGGAGTACATGATGTGTCTACAACCTCAGGCTACAAAAAACTGTCTTCTCAATATCTGTTCTTATATCACCCACCCCTAATTTTTTGAGCTCTAAGAACATTGTTGTCTAGATAACAACCACAAATGTAACATTCTTCTAAGACTACACTTTTAGGCTGCCCTAGCCCCAACCCTAGCCAATCTAACTCAATTAGATATTGACTTAATAGTTTTTAAAAGAAGCTCCCCCAGGTGGTTCTAATATGTAGGAGGCGTTGAGAAACATTATTACTAATCGAGTGTTCCCATGAATGGTTGTTTGGTGACATCTCTATTAATTCATAGATTTATTATATTCTCACAACATATATATATTCCACATATTGAAAATTAAATAATTCCTTACGTTCATAGCCAACAAAGTATTTCCCCTTGTATTATCATATTTGATTCTTATTAGAATCAGAGGCTGGGTAACTATTACTAACCTCCTTTTTCAGACTGGGGTATAGAGGCAGAGAGTGAGTAAGAACTCACCTAATAAAGCTGGGACTTGAACCTATGCCTTCCAACTCCCTCTTCTAGAGCTATGAGCCTATAACCTTTTGCAAGACCTAGTCATCAAACATATTCCTGAAAGCTGGGAGAAAAACAGCCTGTGACGGGGTTCAGAACACACTACCCTAAAATACAGCACCTTGGCATATTGAACATTTGAAGCTGAAGGAATTTGAGAAACAGCAGGTAAAGGAAGGACTCTCTGACCTCCTCCTTCTCCCCTAAAGCAGGTCATAAGACCCTCATGTGAGAGATGCCCTCCCATACCTGCAGGAAAGGAGCATCTTTATCTCCATAGGCATAGGACAAGAGAAATCTGAAAGAACAGGTCTTGCTAAGTTTCCCCCAGTTTACTGCCCTTAACTTAGACCTTTTTGTCTTATCGCATTTTTTCCACTCATCATCAAGCCTAGTATAACCACTCAGGTTAACCATTTCTTCAAGACTTCATTTCCTTATGAAGGCTCCCATGTCACATAAAACTAAAACAAATTTGCATGCTTTTCTCTTGTTCCTCTATGTTTTGTCAGTCAAATTTACAGAGGCCCCAGCTGGAGAACCTAGAAGGGTAGAGGGAAAAAGATCTTTTGTTCATTCCCTACACCTGTCAAGAAATCCTCAGAGGGTGGTCCCCTCCCTGAAGTAGTAACTCTGAACCGAGGCACACTTTGACTGGAGGTGTGACAAAAAGGAGCCTCGACATCAGGAAATATGGTCTCAGAATTTGCAGGGGCTTCAGAAAACAACTGGCTCAGAAGTGGCTGAGCCATATTCAGGGCTTGGCTGGTGAGCCCCTGAAACCAAGCCCTGTAGACCCTGGGCATGAGGAGCACCGTGTCTCCAAATGTGACTCCATCAGGTACACTCTACAGAGCAGAAGCCATTCCATTTTGTCATTTTTCTCAAAGATCAGATACTTTGCTGTGTACATCCCAACGCAGATCTTTCTCAAACACTGCCCTAATATTTTTCATTTTCAAGATTATAGGAAACTTTTCTGAAGGAGTACCCAAAGTTCACCCCAACCGACAATTCCACTTATTTTCTAAGCTTTGCATTTACATTTATTTTCATCCACATTAGTCCTCTACTTCTGTCACATTAATTAGAGTGTTTTCAAATTTGTAGAGTTCTTTATTCTCAAATCTTATCATTCAGACATCGCTTCTGGTTTCTTTGAATTCAGAAAGTTCTGATCATCTAATGCGGGGAAAGCACTACAAAGAACATCCTAAGTCTTTTACGCTGAACAAATTATTCAGATGAAAGAGATCTTTAAAAATATATTATATGTGTTTTATCTTATTTTAAATCTAGCTGTAAATAAAAAAAAATATTTAACTCTCTGGATAAACATCCAGTGCAATTATATGTCGTCTACACTATCAGAATGCCCACAGATTTGCATAAAGAAGTGTAGGTAGCTTTGACACATCTCCCAGCAAACAGCTTCCAGCAGAAGCCAGAAACAGTTTCCAGGGTGAGGAAGCTGGGTAGATGGCCCTCCCCACAATCTTCTCTTGGCTGAGAGCCACTAAAGAGAACCTAGTGTCCCGCTCCCCAGGAAAATCGGTGATCTGCCTTCTCAGAATACAGCATGTTTAGCATCTGTTACGTGCAAGGGACAAAAAGAATTGCCCCCTGCTTTCTATAAACTACCCATGACAACTAGGATCATTACCTACACAGTTAACTAAGAAAATTCATGTGAATGAAGTTATTTATGGTCACACCGTAACAAATAGGCTTTCCAGAGAATTTATGCATTTTTAGATAAGCATAATTTGGGACTAGACTAAATTATGATAGCTTCATTTAATCCTTCAAAACAGGACAAAAAGGAAAACGGAATTCT